CCATACGAAATTAAAGTTTTCACATCAATTTTATTTCAGGATCTTATTCGAAACCCGCATTTTCTTCTTATATATACAAATACAAGGTTATCAGATATGCCTAGTCAGTTTAATTACATTTAATTAATGGAAAAGCTATGCTTATTGTCTAGGATTTACGCTACAATTTTGCCCAAGATAGCGTGTGATATCTTTGGGCCCACCATTTGTATGACCTTACGGGCTTATCCTATTGACATCGCCAGACCCCAAAAATATTTCATATTTGGTTGTCAAGTCATTAGCACACCGCATCCGATCCAAACAAATCCCTGCTGAAATTTCGTCATGCAAAAGGAACGGTCGGATCGAGGACTTAGTGTTACCAAACTTCAGGAAAATGTCATGCTTGCAGCTATTCCACATCCTTGTTGTTGCCTACTCTTGTCTTTTTGCCCTTGCATTTTTGCAAGTGAATAAAATTGACTTGAATATGACTTGGCATCCTTTTCTTTTCCTAACTGACTTACAATGCGTTCCTACATTACAAATACACGTTCTGATTTGTCCTGGCTCATCTTTAATTCTAATAAATTAGTGGTTACTAGAGCCCTTTGCCTGTAAACAGTTATTCATCCTCTTAAATCTCAGTAATTTTACTCGATACAGTCAGAATTAATAGGTTTCGGTACTATCAGTAGATCTTAGCTAAGAACTGCATTCACTCTTCGTCGCATAGGCTGATGAGAGACTGATATTTTAATTTTCCCACTATGAAATGAATGGGCCTTGCAATGCCTTTGAACTTCATTTAGTCTTGTCTCAAAAAGAATTCCTAGCCATGGTAAACTGCAGTCTCGACCTCTTCTGGATCTTATCAATGTCCCGATGAGAATCCAACCTAGATAATACAGGTAATTGTAATTCAATAGCATTAAGAGGGCTACTTATGTCATCGTAGGAAAATTCAACTATCAGTTCTTCATCATACACGACTTAGAGTGAGTATAGTTCATGTGAAAAACGTTCTGTCGAGCCTTTTTTCAATTCGACTGTTTTGTATCTTCGTGGCCCTCTAACAAATAGAATTGTTTGCATCCGTATTTAGGTGCGTTGATTTTGTGCTCAACGAAGGGACCTACAAGTTGGAGA